TGTTGGGTTCTAAGGCTGGCTGGTGTGGCATAGGGTGCTTCGTCCTGTGGATGAGGCTAGCGACGGTCACTTTCCACCCTTGGTGAGGCCCCTGGGGATTCTCCCCACCCCAGCTCCCCTCATTGCCTCCTCTGTTAGACAACTGTTCCCATTCTGTCTTCCTTTACCACAAGACCTATTTTTAACTTTCAGCCTTGAGGGAGGGGAGGGTGATGGCCAGGAGCGGTACCTCTCTTCCTGTCTGTCCTCTTCCCTCTTCCCTCTTCCCTCTTCCCTCTTCCCTCTTCCCTCTTCCATCCTGCTAGTGTTCACCCTCCTCCCATGTCCCACCCTCACCAGGCTTCTTTCCTTCACTCATCCTCTCCTCTCTGTCCTGGCTTTGCTCTTCTCCCTGGCTCATCCTAGTTAATCTTTCTCCGCCGTTCTCCCAAGGTCCCCTCTAGAGATATCTCTATGCAATGTCCCTCCGACCCACCAGGTGGCAGCAGTTATTCGTGGTGCCCCATTCCTATCCCCAGACAGCCCGCGCCCCTCAACTACTAGTGAATTATTTGAGTGGCAGTTCTGTGGCTGCAGGCAGCCACTCCGTCGTCCTTCTGGAGCCTGATCTTTCCATGGTGTCCATGACACGGAGTTCTTCAGGCTTCTTCTATCCTTTCCAATAACTTTCCGAGTCAGCTGGTGACTTGGGAGCAGTGGGGTGCCGACTTGCGGCCACCGAGGCTTCCCTGCTCTCCACCAGTCTGCAGCCCTGTTTTTCAAAGGGTCTGATTGACAGTGGTGTCAGAAGTGTGTGTGTGTGTGTGTGTGTGTGTGTGTGTGTGTGTGTGTGTGTGTGTCCGTGTCCAAGCCTGCTTGGGCTGAGCCCAACCTCGGCTTGTGTTGGACAGAAGTGGATTTGTTCTCACTGGATGGCACTGAGTTCTCTTTGCCTGGCATTTGGGCCATTGCACAGAGCACCAGCTTGATGACCAGGTCAGCAAGGAAGAATACAGAGCTGGCGATAAGAGGTCAGTCCCAAAGGCCACCTCGAGCCCCTGTCCCCAGCAGTCCCCATGCTTTCTTCTGAAGCCATCAAAAACATTTTTGTTCTATGTGTATGGATGATTGCCTCCATGTATGTATGTCTGTGCACCATGCGCATGCCTGGTACCTGCAGAAGCCAGAAGAGGGTGTTTGATCCCCTGGAACTGGATGTATAGACCGTTGTGAGCTTCCGTGTGGTTGCTGGGATTTGAACTCAGGTCCTCTGGAAGAGCAGCCAGTGCTCTTAACTGCTGAGCCATCTTTCTAGCCCTGGCTTTTTGTCACCTTTAATTGCCTGCTTTCTGACTGACCCCTTGGGCTCAGTCTGGCTTCTATCCCCATCCACCCACCCTCATCCCTCCCCTTCACTCCCCTCCTCTTCTCTGTGGTTTCTCCCATTCTGTGGCCTAGAGCCCCAAATTCCCAGCATAGCCTGTGCTCAGAACTGTTCTGTGGGACCAGCTACCCCAGATATTGTGGGTGGAAAGACTGTGGTGGCACTCGGCACACACTGTGAGGTTCTGGGGCAATGGCTCAGTTGGCAAAGGGCTTACGAGGCACAAACACGAGGGCCTGAGTTGAATCCTTAGAAGCACATTTTTAAAAAGCCTGGTGTCGGCCGGGCAGTGGTGGCGCACGCCTTTAATCCCAGCACTTGGGAGGCAGAGGCAGGTGGATCTCTGTGAGTTCGAGGCCAGCCTGGGCTACCAAGTGAGTTCCAGGAAAGGCGCAAAACTACACAGAGAAACCCTGTCTCGAAAACCAAAAAAAAAAAAAAAAAGCCTGGTGTCTCTGGCATGCACCTGCCGTTCCAGAGCTAGGGTGGTGGAGACAGGAGGATCCTCTGGGTTTGCTGTCTGACCAGCCTAGATGAGTTGGCAAGCCCCAAGTTCAGTCAGAACACTTTGGTGGCACATGCCTTTGATCCCGAGCACTCGGGAGAGAGAGGCGGGCAGATCTACGGCATAGTCAGCATGGTCTACAGAGGGAGTTCCAGGACAGCCAGAGCTACGCGGAGAAACCCTGTCTGAAACAAACAAACAAAAAACACAACAAAAATGAAAACAAACAAAAAAATGAAGAGAGCAACTGAGAAAGACAGCATTGGCCTAACACACACACACACACACACACACACACACACACACACACACGCATCATGCACACCACACAAACACAACATTACATCATCCTATCATTTGCCTCCTCAACTTTCTGATGTAGGATTACTGTCCTCCTCATTGGGTTCATCAATTCATCTTTCTATCTATCTGTCCATCTATTTGCCTACCCATCAATCCACCTGCCCACTTATCCATTCATCCATCTAGCCATACATCTATTTCCCCACCCATTCGTCCATCTGTCCATCCATCCATTCATCCATCCATCCATCCATCCATCCATCCATCCATCCATCCATCCATCCATCCACTCACACAATCTATTCACTTATCCATCCATCCACTCATACATCTATTCATTATCCATCCATCCATCCATCCATCCATCCATCCATCCATCCATCCATCCATCCATCTCTTCCTCATAACAGCAATGATATTAACAATAGTCTGTGCTTATTAAGCACCTACTTGGTACCAAGCGCTGTCCTAATTAATTTCCACATACAAATTCACACTCAATGCAGAAACAAGGAGCCAGGCCCAGGCTTAAGTAACTCTGGGTTATCACACTAAGCCTCAGATGCTTGCTGCTCAAGCCACAGGCCTGGGAGTCATCCTGGCTTCCTTTTCCTGACATCCAGCTAACTTGGCCTCCAAAGTTCAGAATCTGGCCTGTTTCTCTGACCTCATTCAGGGCACCTTTCTGAGCTTACAGCAGTGGCCTCTAGTTTCTGTGATGCATGTCTCTGAACGGGCACCCTCAGGCCCTAACCCAGTGGTTGGCCCTCTCTGAGTGCTGGACCTGATTGAGGACAGGTCTACAGGGCAGGGCTGAGGCTGCATCATCTTGTCTTTTGCCATCACATCCCAAGTGCATCCTGAGTCAGGCTCAGCCCACGTGCTTGCTAATGTTGAGAGACGAGAGACCCGAGGGCCAGCTTAGAATCCCTCAGAGTCCTCAGCACACTTGGATGGAGTTGGCCTGTGGCTTTCAGGAGAGTCCCCAGCCTCTAGACGCGGGTACTTGCTCACTAAGTTGGGTCCTTCCTTCCTCAGTTGGCTGCAGCTGCTCCTGCTGCCAGGTCAAGTGAAGGCCAAGGCAGCCACAGTCAAATAACCCAGGGCCCCTTTTCTGCCACCCCTCCCCGTAGCCCCTGGTGGCTGTGGATGGAGAATACCAGAGCTGGGGAGGGGACAGCCATGCCCCCTCCCAATCCTTCTCCCGTTCGCCCTCTGTGGGAATATCCCTGGTGATTCTGTCTTGAGTGACATGAGTCTCTTGTGCTATCCATTGTTATGCCCAGATTGCGACCCCCCAAAGAGACCACCGAAGACCTTGGATGTCCAGAATGCAACAGCAAGGTTTATTCTGCAGATACAAGTCTAGACAGGGAACTCATTCCTACACCCAATACAGTGAGGCAGGGAGGAGTTGCTCTTTCTTTGTGAGGCTGGCTTTTTAAAGGCAAAAACCATAAGCCCTTCAGGGGGTTGGGGGGGTTGTGTACGGGTGCAACTTGGATTGTTTTATTTTTATCTCTGTTCTCTTTTAATTGGGTGAGGGTATGTAGCCTTTGAATTTACTGGTTGGTGGTTACAATTATCACTTTGGGGGCAGTCCAGCACAAGTCCCAGGCTTTGTCCCTGAGCCGCCATGGGGGCTGGCTGGCTAAGCACGTACTGACTGTGGGGGCTGGCTCAGTGGTCCAGGCTCTGTCCTTGACTCATGCACATAACTCTAAGTTGGTGAGGGGTCCCAGACAGTAAACATCTGGCTGAACTTTGAGAAGTCAGAGTACATGCAGAAAGGGAGCTACTGCAAGGACGATGTCTTTTTTTTTTTTTTTTTTGGTTTTTAGAGACAGGGTTTCTCTGTGTAGTTTTGCGCCTTTCCTGGAACTCACTTAGTAACCCAGGCTGGCCTCGAACTCACAGAGATCCGCCTGGCTCTGCCTCCCGAGTGCTGGGATTAAAGGCGTGCGCCACCACCGCTCGGCCAAGGACTTTGTCTTTTGTTCATGGCCCTCCCAGAGACTGCTTGCTCAGTCTCAGGAAACTGAATCTGAGGCCTGATCTCTGAGAGAAGACTAGGCAGCCTGTTATGGCGTCTGCTTGGTCCTTTCATCTACTATGCTGGTAGGACAGGCTGTGGACTAAGTGTGCTAGGATGCTCTCTGAGACGAAGCCCAGAGACCTGAGGGAGTTCTGGACAGTCCGGAGGCCACTTGCCACCTGGGCCGCAATATACCTGGGGTCACAGAAGCCACACTGTCACCTACAGACTCTTCCCAGTGGCTAGTCCCATTTTTCATGTGGGAACTGGAGGGAGCTCCTAGTCATGACTGGTCCCTGGGGTGTGCCCTGCAAGTTGGCAGGGGCTGTAGCAGCTCTCACAGTTCTGGGGGCCTCGTCAAGGAGGTTCCCACGAGTGACTAAGCTAGAAAGCCACAGACGGTTCTGGATTCTGAGCCCTTGGTGACCCTGCGCCTCCCCTGATGGCTGAGTTTCTTAGCAGCTGCCCCACCCCCACCCCTGGACCTCAGTATGGAGGGAGATCTGTGACCACTTGTCCTTGGGTGTCTGCTCAGGCTCTTCTTGGGGTCCCACCCTGCCTAGGTCCCCAAACGCTGAAGAGAGACGTGGCCGGATCCCCTGTTAGTTGCTGGGCCAGCCTGGGAGGAAGGAAGGCAAGCCTTGCCGTCAGATGGGACACATTGGTGTCTCACCCATCCTGTGAGATGTGCCAGAAGCCAGCCTCGGTGCCAGGGAGGCCATGACAGAGGCCTGCGGCAAGGAAGTGCTCAGCTTGGCCACCGATGGATGAGTATACCTTGTGGCCATCGCCCCCTCAGGGCCCCAGCTCCTTCATCTCCAAATTGAGAGAGATCCAGGTACCTGACGTCTCGTCTAGTTTCTCACTGTGAACTTCTCACGATGGTGGTGGAAATCGCTGATAGCAGAGTCATTCTTGCAGCCGCGTTGTGGGCTTGGGGCGACCCGAACAAGGGAAGAAGAGAGCGGAGGTCCTTGACACCCACCCTGCCTCTGCAAGTCCCCCGATAATCTCCATCTTCTCCTCTCAGCCATTCCTCGTCCCTTCCGCTCTCTCCCTGCGGCAGTTCTTAATTTGGTCATCCGCCCGGCATGGGTGTGCTGTAAAACGCTGGCCCTCAGCCAGGTTTGCAGGGCGGTGTTTTATTGATTTCATTAAGCAGGGCCCCCACCTGCGTGAGGGGCTGGGTTGAGTACCCACAGGGCAGCTGGTTGGCATTCAGGACCCAAGGAGGCTCTGCTGGGTTCGGGGCCGCCTGTCCAGGGGCCTCGACTCAAGTGACCTTCACCTCCATCCTCTCCCTCGTAGTCTACAGGGGTGCTGTCACAGCGGCCGTGACAGCGGAATCACAGCTTAGCACCCCTGAAGGAGAGGGCCATGAGGACACGGGCACAGGCTGCCATCCTCCTGCCCCAGGCTGGGTTAGCTGCCTTCCTCCTGCAGGTGCCCCCTCCAGCTCTGCCAGGGCCATTCCTCCATGCTCGTTGGTGGTTTGTGCTGCCTCTGTCTGTGCCTAGCTTTGCCTGACGGCTTAGGTGCCCTGGTGGGTGGAGGCAGGAGTGGCTTGAGGTGACCTCTGAACTCCTCCTACCCCACCTCTGATCCAGGAGTGCTAGCCTGGGAGATTGGTTGGTTACTGGCCTCACTTGGCCTTAAGGCCTCTCCATATCGCACCCCCCACATCTCAACTGCCCATGGGGCATGTGACAATTTAAATAAGAATGACCCCCATAAGCACATGTGTTTGAATGCTTATGGAGTGGCACTATTTGAAAGGGTTGGGAGGTGTGGCCTTGTTGGGAAAGGCGTGGCCTTGTTGGAGGAAGTGTGTCACTGAGGGGTGGGCTTTGAGGTTACAAAAGCTCACTCCAGGCCCAGTGTTTCTTTCTCTTCCCGATGCCTGCAGATCTGGACATAGAACTCTCATCTGCTTCTCCAGTACCATGTGTGCCCGCATGCCACCATGCTTGCCACCCCGGTGATAACGGACTAAACCTCTGAAACTGCCAATCAGCCCCAACTAAATGCTTTCTTTGATAAGAGTTGCCGTGGCCATGGTGTCTCTTCACAGCAACAGAGCACTGACTGAGACAGTGTGTCTTTCTGGATGTGAGTTCAGGAGGCTGGAATCCCACTCAGGGTACCTTGTCTTCCGGCTCCAGGTTGTTGTCTTTCCATGGTATATGGAGACTCTGAGGCCACTAGTGGGCTGGACAAGCTTCTCACATCACAGGGCGTCCAGTCTGTAGGCCTCTGCAAAACATGAAGTGTCACCCCCCCCCATCCTCACTTAGAGATGAGCTCAGAAAGGCTGTGTGATGGGCCTCCGGTCACCATTCCAGGCACAGCTTAGTTTGAACCCAGCCAGTCCCAGGAGGGGTGCCCAAGATGGATCCCCCCTGGCATCCCTCTGCCCACCTCTGCATGTGCCCCTCTCCCCAGAACTCAAAAGACTAGTTGCCGGGGGGACAGTAAGGCCCCAGGGATGGATATACAGGGGACAGTAATTGGTTGGATCCTTTGGAGAGAAAGATGGAGGCTGCTGGAATGGACCACTTTTGCACAGGGGCGTGGGATGCTGGGCATGGGTGGAGGCCTGCAGGGGGGGCTGCTTTGTACAAGTGGAGTGGGGTCTGGAGACATGCTTGGGTACCTCAGAGCCCGAGCATTGCTGTTGAGATCGAGGAGTCCAGTGCCCAGATGGAAGCAAGGAGGCTCCAGGTCACACCGTTGGGAGGAGTCTCTCTGGGGGGACCCCCACACGGGCCCCGATGACCCTCCTACACTGCCACCAAGATGGGCAAAATCAGCTGGCTGGGTCTGAGTTGGTGCAGGGAGGGGTGAAGCTGGAGTAAGGAGGGGCCAGGTCTGAGTCAGGGAGGGGCGAGGCAGCCGGCAAGTGGCAGAGCCCTCCAGAAGGTGTTCTGCCTGAATTTCTCCCTGCTTCACAGCCACAGGTCAGCATCTGAGTGCTCTTCTGATGGCCCCTGGCAGCCCCACCTCCTCCTGAGGCACTGGCTTGGTCCTTCCATCCTCTGCCCTGTCCTCCACTCAGCCTGTTGGGTCCCTGCTTCTTCCTTTTTCCTATCTCTATCCTGGGTCTTAGGACCTGGTTACCTGGCCTCACCCACCAGGCAATGATTCCCCTTCTAGTTCCCAGGACCCACAGGGCAGGGGAATCTATTCACTGGGTGAGTGGGCTGGGTTCTCTGGATGGCTGCTCTGAGCCTAGCTGACTAGTCTTTGCCATGGGAACAGGAGAAGTACCTTTGTGTGTATGTGACTGAGGGCTACTTGTGACTGCCAGGATCCTGGCTTGCTCCTGTTCGGTGGTCCCCTTGTTCGGTCAGATACATTTTCCTTCCCGTGTGGGCTTCACCTCTGGTGTGCTGGGACTGTTCATACAGCCAGTCACAGATTGGATCCAGCCTCTACCTCATCTCTGAACTTCAGTGTGCCCTCTGTAAAATGGGAAAACAAGGTCTCTGTGTAAGCTCTCAGTGCAGGATACTCAGGACGATGGGGCCTCTTACCCTTGTTGAACAGACCCCTCAGACTGGGGATGGGACGGGGATCCATTCTAGATGATTTCTTGACATGTCACAATGGTATAGGACCCTACCTGCTTCAGTTGAGCCCTTTCTGCCCTGTGGGAAGCCTCCCTACCCACTACACAGCTCTACCTTCTTCTGGCTGTCCTTGTCAATCACTTGTTTCTGTTCCTCACTTGGGAGGATGCAGAGCCACTGAGTGGTTGTCTGGTCCCTCTGGTCCTGCCTATTCCAGTTTCTATCTACACCTGAAGGGATTAGAAAATTATTTTTAAATTTTGTGTATGAGTGTCTGCCTGCATGTGCGTATGTGTACCATGTGTGTGCAGTGCCTGCAGAGGCCAAAAGAGGGCACCAGATCCCCTGGAATGAACTGGAGTGTGAAACACTTGTGAACAGTCCTGTGGGTGCTGCGATTCAAACCCAAGTGGTTTCTCTGCAAGAGCAGCAGTGTGCTTACTTAACTGCTCAGCTATCTTATCAACCCCTTAAGAGGTTTAAAAAACAAAACCAAACCTGCTTTATTGGGGCTTTTCCTTGGTATCAAGCCCTCAGATCTAAAGCAGAGACCTCAGCTGATTTTTACAGGTATAGAACCCAAGCGATGCTGGGTTCAAAATTCTGATAGATGTCATGATTGATATCATGATCTGGGTCCTGATAGCCTACAAAACTTCCTCATGCCCAGCCAGTAATCCCTCCTCCAATACTTAGACTGGAACCACAGAATTAATTCCACCTATCTGTGAGCTTCCCACGAGAGACCACAGAGAACATTCTTGATTCTGAACGATCTTGCCTTTGGTGATGTTTGAGACTCATCTCGGGGCTGCACCGACCTTTGTTCTTGTTCATTGCTGTGTGGTATTCACCAGAAGATCCCACGATGGTTTATGTATCCACTCTACGGGAGCTGGGCATCCATCGGGGTTGCTCTCCTTTTGCTGGCTACCACGGGTAAAGCTTTGATGACTGTTTTTGAGCATGTCCTTCGTCAATCACTTCCTTCTGCTCCCATTGGGTAAATGCCGGTGATGGAATTACATAGTTAGGGTCTAAGCTTCAGTGACCGTTGCCTACTGGTTTCCCAGGTGGTTGGGATGATTAGTGCTCTCATCAGCAATGCAGGGGAGTCCCCATTGCTCTACATAACCCTGCTAGCACTTTGAGGTAGCATTCGTTTTTGTTGTTGTTGTTGTTTTTGATTTTTTAGCGTGTCATGGCCTCTCACAGCTGCTCAGCTGCTTTGGTTTGTCTCCTTGACTGTCCACGGCGCTGGTAGCACTTTACTTACGAGATAACTGTGCCGTCCTGTGTTGAGAGCCCCTGCAAGTCTTGCTCTCTCTCCTCCCCTCTGTCTCTCTATCTCTGTCTCTCTGTCTCTCGACTGCCTCCAGTGATGTATCAGAGGGTGACTTTCAACTTCTGACTTCCTGACCCCACCTCCCTCCCAAGTGCTGGAAAGACAGGCGGATGCCACCAAAGCCCAGTTCTTGGGGCTGGAACCCAGGGCTTTGGGCATGCCAGACAAGCCCTCTACCAACTGAGATACATCCTCAGCCCCACCCCTTCTGTATTCTGGATTTGAGTCATTTATTGGATTTCTTGATTCTATGACTTACAAATGTGTCGTCTTTTTTCTTGTCTTTCTCTCTCCACTCCATGCATTTTAGACAGGGTCTTGCTATGTAGCCCAGGCTGGCTTGGAACTTGCTGTGTAGAGATGAGGTTGGCCCTCAGCCACTTGGTAATCCTTCTGCCTCAACATTCCAGATTACAGATGTGTTTGTCAGTCTTTATCTCCCTCTCACGGGCTCCCCGCCTTTCCTAAAGGCTCCCTGGACTCTGAATGTGGCATGTATTCGGTCAGGTGGACCTTTTCTGGAGGCCCTAGAGATGGACAGCTCTTGAGGAGAGGGGAAGTCTAAGAAGGCAATATGCACATCTGAGACAGCCCTGGGTTTAGTCCTGACCAGTCTGCAGTGTGCTATGTGCTCTCAGGCAAACGCCAACACCCCCCCCCTCAGTTTCCCTTCTGTGACATCTCACTGGGTAGTCATAAAAGCAAAGGAAGGCTGGGCTCATGCCTATCCAAGCAATCAGAAGGCAGATCTCCATGAACGGAGGTCAGCCTGGGCTACAGAGCGAAACCTTGTCTCAAAACCGCAACAGCCAGTACCTGGTGCTCAGGGATCCTCGCAGGAGAGGGGGTGGGAAGACAGTCAGAGCGAATGCATCAGTGAGTTTGCTGTGAGATTGTGTCTCCTAGTCATTTCAGAAGTTACGTCCCTCAGTTCTCATCGACATGACTGTCAAAACACGAGCTGAACAACAACCATAGACATGCCAGACACACATGAGTAACATTATACAGACTGAGCAGGTTGTATTTGTGTTTTGACGAATATATATGCACACACACACACACACACACATACACACACACACACCTAACAGCAATTAATGAAAAGCGAAGCCATGCGTCTGAAAGAGAGCAAGGAGAGGCGTATGGGAAGGTTTGGGAAGGAAGGGGCAGGGAGAAATGATATATTATAATCTCAAAAAACAAAATAGTTAACACCCAAACAAGGCCGAGCATGGCGGTGTACACCTTTAATCCAACACTTGGAGGCAGAGGCAGGCAGATCTCTGTGAGTTCGAGGCCAGTCAGGACTACATAAGGGAGACCTTGTCTCATAAAATAAAACAAAGCCAAGCAATCAAACTAAAAAGAAAAACAAAACAAGCGTGAAAAGATGCCAGATGAGAGAGTGTGTGGTCCACAGAGGAGCCCAGCAGCCACTATTGATCCCTTGCAGGCCCCGCCCACCTGGGAGGGCAGTGTCAGGCACACCAGTTCCCCCAAAGCCCAGGCTGGGAAAGGCAGCTGGGAGGAGGCACTGAGCATGCTCAGAGGGAGCAGAGTTCTCATGGGGGAACCTCGGCTGGGATTAACACCAGCAGAACGCAGCAGGTAGTTGTAAATTCTTTCCTGGTCTTTCCTGACTGTCCAAAATATTGTGCAGGTACAGTTCATTTGTTTACTGAAGTGACTGGCACAGCAATTGAAGACATTTACCAGAGTGGTGTGATCTTTTCCTGCGTGTTCACGTGGCGACATGCTTGCGACAATCAACAACCCCGCATGTACAGAGCCATCCTGCCTGCCCGCCCTCCCTTCTTCCTTCCTTCTTCCCTCCCTCTCTCCTTCCTTCCCTCCCTCCCTCCCTCTTTCCTCCCTCCCTCCCTCCCTCCCTCCCTCCCTCCCTTCCTGGGCGGCTTTGAACTCATGGTCCTCCTGCCCCAGTCTCTCAGTTACTGAGATTATAGGCATGTGCCACCATACTTAGCTTCTGTGTTTTGAGCTGACCTCTGAGTTCTGGGCTATCTTGGGCTAGTGAATACTCCCAGTTACTCCCAAGTTCTGGGATGCCTGTGTTGCTGTGCTAGCCTGAATATCATGTGTGTTTGTAGTACAGTGTGAGTTCAGGCCAACCTGGGCTAGCCTACTTGTTGTGGGCGTTTATGAGATAGCCTATGGGTCTGGGCTTTCCCAAGGACTTTCCCTGGGCTGATGAGCAGGGTCCAGGAGGCATCTTCATTACTGAGAAAGATGGGGCAGTGGGGGTGGGGTGGGGCGGGGGAGGGCAGAACTCAGACCGACTCATATATATACATCCATGCATACACATACACATTTGGAAAAAGGGTCTCATGCAGCCCAGGCTGGTCTCAAACTTTCTATCTAGCCAAGGGTAACCCTGGGTTTCTGAGCCTTCTGCTTCTGCCTCCCCGGTCCTGGGATGACAGGCATGCGTCACCATGCTTGGTAACCCCCAGCTCTTTAATGGTGGGGAAGAAGCCTCTGTTTTCCTTCTGCCAAATGGGAACGAACAGAGATGGGCGAAGAAATGGGACTCCTCGGAGAGTGAGCACCTGGGGTGCAGGAGGTCAGTCTTTGTGGGCTTGTGGGTGAGGGAGGGACATTTCCAGCTCTTACCAGGCCAGCAAGGAAGGCAATGGGAGGCATACAATGGGACCATTGTGGCTCCTGGGAGGGGCATAAAGGAACACCTGGCCGTCCTGCTTCCTCCCTTGGAAGGATGTGAGGCCTTCAGTGAAGGGCTGGCTCAGTGCCAGCCTTCCCAGGTCCCCTCTGGCAGGCCTGGCACCTGACCACCTCTCTTCTGGAGGATCATGTGCCCTGTTAACAGATGTGGCAACTGAGGCTCATTAAGGGGAGGGGAAGGCAGAGAAGAAAGAATACCAGATGTCACCAGCTCAGATGCTAGAGTGTTCTACATGCTGTCACTTCTGCGTCCTCTTCTATCCCCTGCCACACCGCCCAGCCCCTGATGACCCCTGTTCTGGCTTCCTGAGTTCTGTGGGGCCTCCTAGGAAGACTTTTCAGGTGTGTGTGTGTGTGTGTGTGTGTGTGTGTGTGTGTGTGTGTGTGTGTAGAGCATGGTTGCAGAAACCTTGGTGTCACTGAGATGCCATCTTCCTGTTTGGCTGCACAATCCTCTGGCCTCCCATGTTCTGCTGGCCCCCAGTGCCCTTCCCCCTGAGTTCGTCTGAGGGTGGGCACCGCACAGGCCAGGCAAACACGGTCCTGTCCTCTGTTAAAGTGCACTGATGCTTCCCCTGCCCTTCCTCTGGGGAGCCTTCCCAGATTTCCCTGCAGGGAGCTGTAGGTTCCCTTGGGATCTCCCTGGAAACTGCTTCCTGGGAGCTCCTGAGGCCTCCCCCCACCCCCTGGGAGAGGTGGCCCCATCCGGAACAGCAGGGCAGCTGAGGTTCTTCACGCTGCCCTTGCTTCTGGACTGGCCAGCTCTGCCATTGTGGCCATTGCCCAGAACCCTCGGCACCTAATGGGCTGGCTGGAGTCCCTCCCTAGCTGGAGGACCCTGCAGAAGAAGACACTCGCTGCCTCCATGCTTCCCTGGACTTGGCAGCAGATCCCGGGGTTGTGGGGCAGTCCCTTGCTCTGTTGGGCCAGAGCTGTGCTGGTGAGCCTGGCACCCGAAGAAGGGGCCGGAGCATCCCACCCACCAATTCCAATCCACTACATCCCAATTCCAGGGCCCTCCCTTCACCTGCCCTGGTGGCTCTTGGAGTGAACTAGATTGTGGCCATGCTCTCCCAGGCCACGTTAACCCTTTTAGTGATCCCTGCCTCTTGGGGGCCCAGTGATGGGCTCTCCTTCACTGTCGTCTCCCTCCTAGAGAATCCTTCCTTCCGAGTCTCCCCTCTCCTTGTGCTTCATGAGGAAAGTCATCTTGGAGAGCTCAGATGAAGGGCTCCCTCCCCAGGGTGGCCCGCTGTGGCCTTAGAATGTGGTAGTTCCTCCCTCTGTCTTCCCAGCCGAGGCTGCCGACTCAGCCCAGCAGCAAGGAGCTGTGACACCTTCTGTTTAATATCTACTTCCGGGGGCGGGGGAAACAGCTCAGCTGGTTAAGTGCCATCTGCACAAGCGTGAGGACTCGGGTTCAAGTCCCAGCACCCGTGAAGGGGAGCCCGGGGCACGGTGACACATGCATGTAACCCCAGTCCTGGGGAGGCAGAGACATGTGGGTTCCTGGGACCAGCCAGCTAGCCCAGGCCATTGAGAGACATTTCTCCAAAAAAACAAGGTATACAGTTCCTGAACTCTGTCCTGCACAGTATCGCCCTCCCTCCCTCCTTCCTTCCCTCATCTGTCTGTATGTCTCTGTCTGTCTGTCTCTGTCTGTCTGTCTCTGTCTCTCTCTCTGTCTCTCTCTCTGTCTCTCTCTCTGTCTCTCTCTCTGTCTCTCTGTCTCTCTGTCTCTCTGTCTCTCTCTCTCTCTCTCTCTCTGTCTCTCTCTCTGTCTCTCTGTCTCTCTGTCTCTCTGTCTCTCTCTCTCTCTCTCTCTCTCTCTCACACACACACACACACACACACACACACACCTGGAATCACACTTGCCATGTGAAGGCGCCATGACAGTAGGGAGGC